TTTAATTTATTTAATTAAAAAATTCACTAATCAATTAAAAGTTTAAAAAATATTTTATATGATTAAATATGCTTTTAATATTCATTTATATATTTATATAAACTATAAAACCCCAGAAAATAGTATTTTAGAAGTGGTGGTAGTCTAAAAATAGTAAGACTCGTTTATTTTAATATTAAATGGTTTATTTACAAATAGTTTTGTTATAAACGAGTTTCATTATTTTAAAATGTACCATCTCTCTAGAAAACATTTTTCTAGAGTTTTCTACCTTCTCTCTAAGAGTTATAATTCCTGAGTCATCTTCATGACGATCAGGAGGTACCTAATCGACCACGACAATGAGGTCTACGTTTTTACGTGATAAGTTTCTTCAATAGAGAAAGTAAGTTTTGACTCTTTTTTCCCTTTTGTTCCAAATCTGTTTTAGAAGAATCTAGTATTGTTGCATGTGTAATCATACCTTTCTTACTATTCTTAGTTCATCTAGAGTTCTAAGGACTCTGTCCGTTTTCAATTTAGTGTTTTGTAGGTTCGTCTAGTTATTCCTTGTGGTTTAAGTAATTGGTGAAGCGTTCTTTGAGTTGGGGTTATTTCTTATGAGGTAAGGGAAGCTAGGATTCTTGCTTTAGTTATGGTTATATTAATAATTTGGTATCTCTAGGAATTGTTGTTGATTTTGAAGAAGTTACTATGACTAGGTGTTTTATAAGTGTGTTTAATTGTTAACTTGGATGGTATGATGTTGAGAGTAACTGTAATTATGTGATCTTAATGTGTTATACTATCATGCATGTGTTTGATGAAGTTGTGTTGTTATTAGAAACTGAGTTCAAAGTGGTTTTGATGAGAAATTGTTGCACTTTTTAGTTTTAAGTCTTAAAAGGAGAGGTTTACAAGAGTGAGTTTGAGAAATAGAGGCTATTGAGAGTAAACTATTGTCTAGGTACTGTCATGAGGTTGATTGAGACTTGTTGGGTGTATATTGGGGTTGATATCTGAGCTATAGTGAAAGTGAAGTTTATAGTTGAAGTTTGGAAGTGTTTTGAAGAAAAAATGAGGTTTTAGGTAGGGAAATTGTGAGAGAAGGATTGTAAACTGGTGTGAGGCCTTTGGGGTCTGTTATGAGATGTTTTGTGACTTGTTTAAGCATTGAAATGTATGAAATCTGATGTAAGAGTGTTTGATGGTTGATAGGTAGATTTTAGCTTGATTTAGAACTAGTTTTTTAGGGTTTGGACTAGTGAGAATTTGAATTCTAGGTTTTGTGTTTAAATGCTCATTTTGGAGGGTGTTAATAAGTCATTTGGGACTTGTTGGAGTCATTGAGTTGTTTGAAAATAAGCCATAATTGGTGGAATTCAATTTGGGTCTCTAAAGTGAGGTTTTGATAAATTTTATATATAAATCTTGTGGTTAATGAGTTTAAAATGTGTTTAGGATGGTTTAGATACATTTGTTTAGGTATTTTTTTAGTCTAGAATATGATCTAGGAGTGTTAGAAGTTGAGAAATTTATATAGAATAGGTCATGAGTAGTTGAGGAGTGCAAATTCTACAGTTTTGGTGCTGCATAATTATGAAGTCTTGTTGAGCAAATATGTGTCAACGGAGCGAGCAAAACACTTCCAGCTGAGTGAGAGTTTTCGCTGAGCGAGAGGTAAGGGACTAGAGCCCATTATTCTCTATCTTCGCACAATGAACTTGGTATGCTGAGCAACTAGTCCAAATCCTGTTTTTATTCTTTCTATCTTTGTTTTCTAATAACCTTAAGTTATGTTTTGATTTTCAGAATGGTTATCTATGATACTATATGATCATTAATGTTATATGTTGTGATTCAATGTGAAAGTATATGGGTATAAGTATGGTTTCAAAGGTATGGAAAAGAGTTCCAAGGAGGAACTTTTCAATGGTGGTTTCAAGTATTGTAAGTATGAATATGGGAAGCTCAATCTTGGAGTTCATCCTGAAATTCTAATGGTCACTCATTCTCAAATGAATACGGGAGGTATGTCGTGAGAATAACAGGAAATTCTAGTATAGGGGCTTTACCTTGGCCGAAGGCGAGTGATAACGGACTAACCTTGTATGGTACCTTGGCGTATGCTAACTATTTCACCACAACAAGTGCACGAACTGCCATAACTCGATATTTATACTAATCCGGACAATCAAGTCAAAAGGGTTGTCATGCATAAAGTGTTTGGTTGATTTGGTGTGAGATATGTATCTTTCAGTAAAATGTTGGGTTAAATATGTTTTTAGTCCCTAAACTATCATGCGATTTTGGTTTTAATCCCTCTTTCAAGTAAGGTACTTTTTGGTCCTTCTCCTTTAGGAAAACATAATTTTTCGTCCTCAAAAACCAACGACGTTAAATAGAAGGTGAGCTGGCAAACGGTGGAGTACCACGTTGTAATCTTTGAAACTCTCCCTCTCTCCACAACCATCACCACCTCCGCTTCTTTTCATCCTCCGTCAGCAACGACGCCATCAGTTCTTTTCTCCCTCCCTCCGCCACCAAACCTCCTTTCTCTTCCTCCCACCGGAAAAAGGGTCACTATGCCGGTTTCGCAAAAGGGATGATTATTAGGGATAATATTACATTGATATTTTTGAATGTAAAGTCAAAACAGTGTCTTAGAGTAAAAATTTTATTTTGTGTGGTGAAGAATTGACTCAATAATGAAAAACCCTCAAAATTGAAACTCACAATTTGGGGTAAATTAATCAGTGAGCGCCAAAAACGTGGATGCCAGCGTTTTTGATGGAATGGAACTAGGGAGAGACCATGACGCGGTAGTGTGGTGGACGATTTGCACGATGGTGACACCAATTTCTCTGAGACAGAACCCTAGCTTCTCCCAGATGAGAGAGGCCACTTTACTATCCCAGTAGCGCTGAGATCTGGGGAACTGGTTGAGTTGTGCTGGTAGTGAGCCACGAATTCCTGCTCTAACGAGGAGGTGGTGGTGTTGGTGACCTGGTAGTGAGGATTGAGAGATTTTAACAAATCCAAACCAAGCGATGGAACAAAGTCAGAAAAGTCGGAGGTATGAGAGTGTCAGAATGCTTCATCGAACGACTCATATGTGTCACCGATTGGCTCATGGCCCACCACTTTCGCTGCTAACCGTTTGATCGCCTCTGCCTCCACATGTCAGAATGTTCCACTGATCGGCTCTTGTCCCACCGCTTCCGCTTCTAACCGTTCGGACGCCTCTGCCTGTACCAGTTCGGATCATCCGTCCGACTCATTGAATGTTCCACCAATCGCCTCATGTCTCACCGCCTCTTCCAAACCAAGAAAAGTCGCGCGTGTGCACAGGCCACCCCGACACGAAGGTCCTTGTCATTTTTCGTCCTGCTGCTTCCATTGAACTGTATCACCGCGAGACAATACAGTGCTGACGTGTGAGAATTCATAGCCGCCTTTACCATGAGCGACGCGCCGCTTCCTCTGTTTTGCAGACAATAAAATCGAATCTGCAAGTAGATAACATTCAAGACTCAAACTTTTGTCCAACATTTAAAAAAAAAATTAAAGGAAAAACAATGAGATTTCTTTTAACGGTATCTTCCTGAAGGGAGTTCTTGGTACTGTCACTCTGTAGCATCATGCTAGATCCCTAATCCCAATCAATCCGAGAGAAAAATGGTAAAGTCAGTCAAATTTAAGAATAAAAGGCTGTGCATGAGTGGAGTATTCAATTGAATCACCCAAAACCATGATTGAAGCGCAAATTGATCGAAAAAAGCAAAAGGTCATGACAAATCGTGAAGTTAGAAGGGTGACAGTCTTACTTGTTGCTGTGACGCGGTAAATCGTGAATCTCTGATTCTAGCATGGAGGACTTCACAGAGAACTAAAAGCTACAAGAACGAAATAGAGCTATCTTGGTGGCGAAGGAAATATGTTTTTTATGAGACGCTGGCGACATTTTTTCTGGTGGGAGGAGGAGAGAGGAGGTTTGGTGGTGAAGGGAGGGAGAAAAGAACTGGTCTGACGTGGGATAAAAAGAAGCAGAGGTGGCAATCGTTGCAAAGAGAGAGAGTTTCTAAGTTTACTGCACGTTAGCCACCTCACTTTATTTTTAACGTCGTTTGTTGTGGAGGACGAAAAATTATGTTTTCCTTAAGGAGAGGGATCAAAGTGTACCAAAGTTTAAAAGAGGGACGAAAAACAGAATCGCTTGATAGTTGAGGGACTAAAACATATTTAACCCTAAAATGTTTAATATGTGTTTAATGTATTATGAAAATGTTTTGTATCACCAATTTACCCTTACTTTTTCTTTGTTGTTTATGTGTGTTTTATCTTTTGCAATCGTCACCTTAAAATGGTGTGAACTTAGAGAAAACTTTTTTTCAGTCATTTTAACATGAGGTTGAGAGAACAACCACATAGATAGAGTTTTATTTTCTAAGTATAAAATCTTCTTCAATTGTAATTTATAGTTTCTGGTAAGTTATCATGTAATAATTTATTTTGATAGTTTTATTTTAATGATAGGATGTTACACAAACAAATTTTAAAAATAAAATATTTTAAAAAATAATATTTTTATAAAATTAAAATTAATTTAAAATATTAAAATAAAGAAAGTAACATGCCGGCCAGCCCGACCCGACAATCCATTCTACGCGGAATTGATTATCATTGGTGGTACGTTTTTGTTTAACAAACTAGTTGGCTGGATTTATATTTTTTTTTTTATGGACAAATGATACTATTTTGTCTCTCCTGATAAATAGATAATGGTACTAATTTTTCAAACTTTATTTTAGTATATTTTGAGAGTTTTAAATTTTGTTATAAAACATTTTGGAAACATTTTTCATCGATACTGATATTAAACATAAATCTTATTTTAAGAAAATAAATAAATACGTTTAGCCAGGGATTCAAGAAGGTTCATGTGATATCTTTAACACAATCGTTCTAACAAGAGTCCTAATCAATAAAATTGAATTCCATTTATTTTATGATAAAGTATATATATAAACATTATGGAAATGAAAATTTCAGTCCATTTATAAATCCGTCGCCGCTAGATACTCGAAAGGAGTCGAATTTTTGAAGAGTGTTTGAATCGGAAAGGGAAAGATGAAAATCCAACACATACCATGTCTCGAAGACAATTATTCTTATCTGTGGGAATCTAATCTAACATTCATCCATTCATTTCTCTTCTCTCTTAGATTTTGCTGAACCAATCTGAGTGGCGCAGGATCGTCGATGAGAGCACCAAGGAAGCCGCGGCGGTGGACCCAGTCGAGCCGGAGAAGATTCTCGAAGCTGCCAACTCGTATGGTGTCACTCTCAAACTCGTCCTCACCACCCACCATCACTGGTATGATGTACTGAGTTGTTTTTATCTTTTTCTGACATGTTCCCTATGATGTTTTGTTTTACCGTTTATTATTGTGTGACAGGGATCATGCTGGTGGAAACGAGAAGATAAAACAACTGGTGCCTGGAATCAAGGTCTATGGTGGTTCCATCGATAACGTGAAGGGTTGCACCGACAAGGTTGAAAACGGTGATAAGGTCTCCCTTGGAGCTGACGTCACTATATTGGCCCTTCATACACCTTGGTATGCCATGCTGTGTTATGTTATGTTATTGCTAATTCAACTTTTCAAGTTTTTCCATCTGTGCACTACACTATAGAGTATGGGTTGGAATTGTAACTGTTGGGTCATGTTTGGATGAGTTTATCAGAAAATAAAATAAACTGGTGAAATGATTTAAGCTTCTCTAACAACTTGAAAATAGTTTATTTATAATCTAACTTTTGAAAGCATTCTCTTATTTCATTTAACCAGATACCAATTTTAACCTTTTCAAGTGAAATTAAATTAGTATGGTTGAACACAACTTAGAAGTGCTTTGGAGAACTTTTATACGGGAAATTTGAAGATTATTTTTGGAGAAGGTCTCAAAAGCACTCATAGAGTTTGTATCCAAAACGTTTTAACTTGAACCGAAACAGGTTTGAACAAGTCATAAATTTGTTTAGTAGTTGTTAGTACGAGTATAGTGTTTGAATACCAAGAATTGTTAGCTGGTCAGGATGAATACTATAGTCTTTGACACCCACAGCTATAACTTTTTGTAATGTATTTCTCTAGCCAGAAAAGTCTGCATAGAAGAATCAGTTTTGTAATGCGTGCTGAACTTTTGCCAATTATTCCCATCCCCTGTTAGAGGGCTATAATTCTGCTTATCTGATGATTAAACAAATGATGTGCCAAATTGGGAGAAAATATACCATGAAGGCATTGCCATACCTCATTGGCCTTCTTATTTTTATTTTATTGTTAATTTTTTATTGCTGCGTTATCAGTTCTTTTGGTGTATTTCTTGATGTTTGCTGTAGCGATGATTCTCTCTTTTTTTATTCATATTTACCTCTCTTGTTAACCTAGGCTATATTTGTAATTTGCTCAGTCACACAAAAGGCCACATAAGTTACTATGTTACTGGCAAAGAGGATGAGCATCCGGCTGTTTTTACTGGAGATACATTGGTAAGATGATTGATCAATCTTTTCCATATCAGAAAAAAATGTAGTTATTTTGGAAAACATGTAATAAACTTGTTCTTAAAGCCGTCACAAGTGCTTGAAGTCAAGGTATGTGACTTTTATTTGGTTCTCTCTTTTAAAACTTTTATGGATATGAATTTTGAAGAGGCTCTTCTTTCAAATCTCTACATTTGCTGTCTTATTGCTGGTTTACAGTTTATTGCTAGTTGTGGGAAATTTTTTGAGGGAACTGCTGAACAGATGTATCAGTCTCTCAATGTAACACTAGGTTCATTGCCAAAGACAACTCGAGTATACTGTGGCCATGAGGTAAATCATACTGAAGTCACCATCTATACTCAAAAAAAATTATTATGGGGAGTGTCAATTTTGTTTATCTATATAGGTAGTGTCAATAATGATCAATCTTCTTATAATTTAAATGAGGAATGGAATTGATCCAAAAGACTTCTTAAACAGTCAGTTCACTCATGATTTTTAATGGTAAATACTTCTAATTTGATTAATGGAGAAAGGGGGTTGGGGGATGATGCAAACATTTAAAAAGTATTAAATAATACAGACTAATCTTCTTGGTCCAGTTCACACACGTTAATATTATGTAAAAACTGTGTATTATGGGAAATGTACACCAATTTTTGCGGCATATAGTAGTCAACCTGATATGAATATAATGGAGTACGAGGTTCAAACGAATTGATACTCAATTATTGTCACAAATTTTGTGCTAAAATTAGGTCTTTAGGTATTCATGAATACTGTTTCCTAACCTTTTGTTATGCTAGAGTGTGTGTTAGTCCATCGAAATGTCTAGATTGATAAATCATATTTTGGTTCGGAGTTAGCATTCTGCCACAGTAACCCTTGAGCAAGTAAATCAGTACATCCTTCATTCTTTAGAACACAATTCTATGTTCTTTTCTGAAAAAATAAAATATAATTGGTTTTTAAATGTATATATTCAGCTACTCAGATGTGAAGTTATTATTTGGAATGAGTGAATTGCTTTAGATAATCTGTAGTGACTGTTCATAAGAACTCGTTTGTTTGGAATTGATCGTGCACTGTTTATCTTGCAAAACTATGACTTACATTAAATAAAAAATGCAACTTTGAGACATAAGGTGAGGAGGGGGAAATTTTAGATTGTTTTACTTTCAGTGGCCTATTTCTTATATGCTGTTTCCACTTATAATCACTAGTAAGAGTGTGAAGTTTTTATCTCCAGTATTCAGTGAAGAACTTGCAATTTGCTCTGACACTTGAGCCAGACAATTCGAGGACACAACAGAAATTAACCTGGGCTCAGAATCAGAGACAAGCTGGTCAAGCAACAATTCCCTCAACCATTGAGGATGAGTTGGAGACCAATCCCTTTATGAGGGTTGATCTACCTGAGATCCAGGTTTGACACCTCTCCACCCTCTCTTCAAAGTGGGAACCAAAATATATTATTTCCTGTTGATTAGAGGGTAGAATGAAATATAGAATCAGAAAAAGTTTAAGGAGTTTATTGGTGCTTTCTACAATCAAACTGAAATTCTAACATAGTTAGAAAAGAAGCTGTTATTTGTGCAGTTTTTATTTATTTTTTTCTTGGGTAAAAAATATAGTGACTTACAAAAGTTGAACCTGAAGCTTTTCTTAAACTGAAAATTTTCAGGAGAGGGTGGGCTGTAAGTCACCTGTTGAAGCATTAGGAGAGATAAGGAAGCGGAAAGACAACTGGAGAGGCTAATGAAACAAGCATTCTCATTTGTTCATACTTCAATTTCCTGTTCTGTTTTATAATATGAATAAGGCCTTTATGCAGATACTGTAACCGTTTGATTTACCTGAAACTGAAATGAGAGTCAGAGGCTTGTCAAGCTAGGGGCACGGATTCTGATTAGCAATGTCGCCTATATGCATATTATGTTGGTTACTTGTGAACTTGAATTCAATTTTCTTCTTCTTTCCTTTTCTGTTTGCAATAATGGCTTGTTATTTTATATAAAGCTTAATTAGTGACTTAGTATTTGTTAGTTTAGTTTATTTGGTTCTTTCATAATTTTTGGATTCAATTTAGAGGTCTTCAATCTTTTGAAAAGTTCAATTTGCTTTTTTTTGTTAACTTGATTTTAAAAAAGTTCAATTTGGTGTTTTTTGTTAAGTTGATTATACACTGTCTCTTTATATATCACATATCAATTGGTGAAATTTTTTTTTTTTAATTTTCTAAATTTGAAAAAATATAAACGGTTGAGAATCAGGACATGGTCAGAAATCTGGAAGTGTCCATGCCATGTGTTTGTGTTATTGGGACATCATAGTGGTTATTTTCATTTTAATTTCTTAATTTAAAATTTTGATTCAATTTAATTTTTTAATTTTTAAAATAATTAAATTTTATCCTTTCTAATTTAAGATTAAATTAGTAATTAAATTTAATTATTAATTTGGTCTTAAAATATTTTAAAATTGAAGGAAATTAAATTGAATCAATTTTAAATAAAGATATTAAATTAAAAATAACTATTGTGACAATTACATTAACATGTTACAGGGCACTACAATAACTTGCTACATGATAATTTATGTCTTTTTAAATTAAAAAAATTAAAAATTTCACGAAGACACATTATATATATAGACATTGTGTTAATATCAATTTAATAAAAAAATAAACCTAATTGATCCTTTTTAAAAAATAAAAATTGAAAGACCTCTTAGATTACATGATACATTTGCTTTTATCTCTCGAAAAATTGTGAAGATAAAGAAAATAACTTCTTAGATGGCCATTTCTTTCTCCATTTCTAGATTTTCTTCCTGCACTCCCATAAAATGTATTATCTTCATTTTACCCTTCTTAAATATATAGTAAAATAAATAATAAAACAAGAAAAGTTTATCTGAATTCTAGATTGAATAATTCGAAATGTTATTCAGATTCAGAAATTTATTCTGAATTGACCAATCCAAAACTCAAACATTATTTCCATCTAGAATGCATTCTTATATTCGCAAATATATTTCAAACTAATTAATTCGAAATTGAGTAATTTAAAATACATTCTCGATTAACTAATCTGAAATATAATTCTAAATTTGGGAATGTATTTTGGGATTAGCCAATCTGGAACACATTAATATACTTCATATTTTTGTTTTTGTTTTTCAGTCAGTGTTTTTTTTTTTGAATTAGCCCAAAGTTATCTTGTACCAAAAGCTCCACAAGGGGTATCCAAGTAACCTGTTTTCGAAACATAGTTATGAATTTTCATTTTAAGGCAATGTTAAACAGAGGAATGAGAACGTGCTTATGAATGTTCCTTCCTCCACCACATCGTATCACTACCGCTTGCCATTGGACCAATGTAAAATTTGTATTTTCAAAATTTAAAATATATTTTTTATTTTCTATTTGGACTGTACGAAATGTTTTATGACAGTGTATTTTGGAATTGAAAATAAAAATGTTGGAGTATAAACAAAGTTTCATATCATATAAAAGAAGAGTTGAACATGAGTTTATATACACATATATATTTTCATTGGTAAGAGATCTTTTGAAGTGGTACCAAAAACAAATTTGTGAAGACTTGACCCAAAACAGACAATATTTCATTAGTGTGGAGATATGTATTATTTTGTCATTGAGTCTCTTCGTTTAAATTTCTCCTTATTTCTTTTCACTTAATTTAAGTGAAATCATTAGTCTATTTTTCTTTATTTTTTTTTTCTTTCACTTTTTATTTCCTAAACAAAGACGAAAGATTGACATGCACATGTTTGGAATGAATTAAATTAAAGCTTAACTAGCTTTCTTTAAAAGCAATAGAAGTGTTACTTATCTCTTGATACATTAGAAAGTTAAAATTCGTACAGTAATGTGTATGTGGATAATTTTGTTCTGTGTTTAGTTGAGAAGTTAGTAACGGTCACTTCATTCATTAATGTTGGTCTCAATCTCAAATGCCTTTTGTGAATTTGGAAGTGAAGTTATTATTCTAACGGTCATCATTTGCTACACCAATATTTGGACCAATGTTAGTTATCATCATTGAACAACATAACTTATGATAATACTCTTATTAATGACTAATAAACATCTTATTAAAATATTTTATAATCGTTAATAAAAGTCTTACCTATTAATAGGATCCAAGATTATATAACTTAAACATTATTATCTTATTTTTATTAGATTGATAGAAAAAGAATAGTTAACACATTTTCTAGATATAAACTAACGTATCATAATGATAAAAAATACTTTTGTAATATAGCAATTTCATTGTTGTTGATCATACTCTCGTGAATAATTTAACTTAAATCACGATAGATAGGCTACCGTCGTTATTGTTATAAATTATGATAGTGTTATTTACTATTGTTATAGAGATAAATTATAACAAAATAATTAAAATTTTGGACTGAAACTATTATTATTATCCTTTTCCTTAATCGACGCGATATTTCGATTTGAAATTCAAATAATTTTGGTTTGACGAGTATATATAACTACAATCTTTATTACAAACGTTGTGGAAGTAGCATAAATGACAACATTTTTGCCTTTACCATTATGGATGTTAGATTTTTCTTTTCTGTTTACTATTTTATTTTACTCAAAATCTCTCAAAAGTTTAAAAAATGCAATCAATTCAAACCGGTATAATAACTATTTAATCTTTGAACAAAGTTCTTAAATATTTAAAATATTAAATTAAATTTAACTATCAATTTTATAAATTCTTATATCTAGAAAGAAAATATGTTACTCTTGTTTTATGAACATAGGATAATACTTTGGAATCCAATGGTTGTTCGTTAACAAAATTTTGTAAAAGTAAATTAAAGTTAAAACTATCACATATGAAAATAAATTAAGACATATGTTTAAATGTGATATATTATATTACTTTATCACAACTGCTTTCATAGCCAACTTCTACAATGGTTGTCATCCATTGCATGCTGCAGTACTCATACCCAAAGCTACCGATTTATTTATTGCACTATAACATAGTAAATGAATGATATAGTATTATAAATACCTTGAGAAACTTCCACGTGACCTGTTGAGTTGTAACACTTGATCTACAACTCATTATGTTTTGACCATTAAAAGCATTAAATATAATAACATTTAATGTTAGAAAACATGACATTGAAAGTTCAAGGTCAATGAAGCAGTGAGCTTTTCTTAAAATAGAATTACGTATCTATTGTGTTTTTTAATGCATTATGTTTGTTTTTATGACAGAGGCAAAACCATTAAGCGATACGATTTGGTATTGATATAACTTACAAGTGTCAATTGACAGTTGCATTGAAAATTAGTTAAAACATATTTAAAAATATAACTTATTAAATAATGATGAACTTTCCTAACTATATACATAGCAATGTAAATTTGTTTCTTGCCATCCAGTATTGCTTTGTTGATTTACATTTGTCTTTCTATAGGTGAGTTAATGATTGGTTGCGTGACTTGAGGGTCTGTAAACTCATATTTGTCATCCTTCCTCGCTTTCAAGAACAAATCGTGCAAGTACCTAACTTTTACACATTGATAATGTGTATAAGGTAACAAATAAAAGTTATTAAAAATTAACTTACATCCTGATGGAAGAACGATTTGGCTGATTCGGGCGGAGGAATAAATCAACCAAGCTCACCTTTGACTTGGACCATAGAAGCACCCAGCAATGGAAGATGAGCTTCGACAATATAGCGGAATGGGTTGAAGATGACTGGAGGAAACAGAAAAGTGTGGAAGCCACTCTGAAGAGGTGTTCGGTGGCTTGATTGAAGGAGAATGGATGATTCGGTGATGAAGATAAGGTTGAAGTAAAAGGAAAGTGGAATGAAACATTGGTTCGGTGATGGAGAAACTGAAGCACAATTTCAAACGGTGGTGTTATGTGAATTGGGAAGTGAAATGGAGGCAAAGATTTGGGTGCCGAAATATGATGCGGATGGGTGGAGATATGCTAGTAATGGAGCCTAGCTAGGGAGAGAGGCTAGAGGAAACTCTCAAGCCCTCTCTCGGTGACCTTCAATAAGAAGAAAGTTCTGGACAACATCACAGAAAACAATTCTTCATTCAAATCAAAGGTCACCAAGTGAGAGCTTGAGAGTTTCCTCTAGCCTCTCTCCCTAGCTAGGCTTCATTTCTAGCATATCTCCACCCATCCGCATAACATTTCAGCACCCAAATCTCTGCCTCCATTTCACTTCCCAATTCACAAAACACCACCGTTTGAAATTGTGCTTCAGTTTCTTCATCACCGAACCACTGTTTCATTCTACTTTCCTTTTACTTCAACCTTATCTTCATCACCGAATCATCCATTCTCCATCAATCCAGCCACCGAACACCTCTTCAGAGTGGCTTCCACACTTTTTTGTTTCCTCTAGTCATCTTCAACCCATTCCGCTGCATTTTCGAAGCTCCTCTTCCATTGTTGGGTGCTTCTATGGTCCAAGTGGGCGGTGATCTTTGTTGATTTATTCCTCCGCCCGAATCAGCCAAATCGTTCTTCCATCACATCCCCTATAATTTCACAACATATATGTTTAACTATTGATTTCTTACTAAGATCTCCTACAAATAAGATTAGTAAATGTATAATGGAAGTTCGCTTTATTTGAATAAAAATGACATCCCAAGGAATCTTCTCTTGGTTTGTACCTATGGATGCAACAACCTCCCTCAATGTGGTCAATATTAGTGTATATATTTACCAAAGTGTAACATGGTGTCATCCTCACAAGATGTTTGGGTCACACAATGAAGGTTTGTAAGGCTTTCGATACAATATAAACCTCTGATATCGATATAGGAATTACAACATCACATAATGTATAGTCTCCACCATAACCTTTACCAAATGAGAGGGG